CGTGGTGGCGCATAATGCACGGAACTGTGCACTTTTGCAAGAAATATTTGCCGAAAGCCAGGCGTTCAAATAAATGTGCAAAGTTTGCTGACATATGAAATAATGTAAAAACAGCGCTCTGCTGGGGACGAATGCAGATCTATATTGGGCTGCACTTGCGCAGTTTGCAGTAAATAATTTCACATGCCATTGTTTGAAAATTATATCGTTCTTTTCATGTAAAAACCAAGTAAAAACACCCTGGTAAAAACCACAAAATCAGCCGCCCCAGTCTTTGTTTGTAGTGCTCCCATCGTTCGACGTTCAGAGCCAGCGCACTATCAGACTGATGGCGACGGCTTTTTCCATCGTTCCAGTCCTCAGTTCAGTGAGAATATCCAGATCAGCCCCTGCCTTATCCAAACTGACATATGGGAGACACACATTATTTAGTCTGCTCTCCCTCCGAGGCCATGCACACTGGACAGTGGACAGTGTACAGGCGGGATGAAGTGAACGGGAGAGGCTGGGATCCGTAGAAGACCAATAAATGTCTCACTGTCTTGAACAGTCACCGTGACGTGGTTTGGAGAATAAGCCTGCTCACTGCTCAGTGCTTCACTGCTTAGTGCTTCTCATGTGCTGTGTTGCCGGTGGCCGTTCAGCTCAGGCAATGATGGCATGACAGTCCTTTATGGGAATGGAAGAAAATGTTGCTAAGCTGAACAAAGGCAACAGTATACCTTTCGTGAGCGAAATGTGCAAATCGAGAAAAGTGAAAACGAAAAGACACAACTTAGAGCAGGCAACACCAGAAGCTCGGCGCTGCACTGGTCGGCGGTCGCTACTGACACTTTACAAGGTGACAGTCATTGTGATTACAGTATCGTGAATGTTGGACGCGCTATTGACAGATTGACAGGCAGTGGACGATGTCGGACCATGCTAGCCGGACGCGGGAGCGGACATAAATGTTTCTCAGCCAGACACACTGTGCCACAGTCGCAGCTTCAATCACTTCAGAGGCACATGTCACAGCCATGCAGTGGCTCTTTCAAGGTCACAGACACAGCTCACACTTAGGTACAGACACATAAATGGCAGACGCTTGGCAGTCGATCGATTGGTCAAGGTCATTAAACAGAACGATTATTAATGGTGAAGCGAGAAAAGCTGAAGCATCGATTCGAATGTTAATGAACCGAGGCGCTCAATGAAAAGCGGGCTGCGGACCGTAGACAAAGATAGGAGAGCGGCGAAAACTATACGTTTAAGGTAGATGGCACACTTCCCGCTGTCAAAGAGTTAACATTAAACAAGGGCTGTGATTGTGGACTGTTGCGTCCGTATCACTATCGACCAGGACGATTAGAAATGTAGGAGACATTGGCTAAGAAGAATAGACCCCATTCCAGGCCCACCATTGTCTCAAAATTCCAATTATGACAAACCTTTCGCTCAGCTGTGATACGAACTGAAAACTATATTCGCATCTTAGGCAGATCTACTCTGTTATGAACTGTGCATTAGGGAGATCCGCCGTGGTATGATGAGTACCTATGTTATAGACAGATCCACCGCCGTATGAGAGCAGAATTACTGACCACTCTGTGGTTACGCTACTGCCGTCGGACCAGATGTTTATTGTTTGCGTTTCAGACGCCGATATGAGATCTGTGACGTCACTGATGGTCTGCACAGCCGCCCCTCTGTTTATGACGCTGCATTGTGGGTTGTGCAATCGACAGAGTCGGAGACATGCGCACTGATTCGAGGAGACATCCATTCATCCTTATTGTTCACCAACGCTGCTGCCGTGAACCTGTAGTAAAATACACGCGCTGACAAACAGCAGTAGTGAATAGCCATTGCCATCCAATAAAAGCTTGTAAAAAAGCTATAACCCTGCTTGATTTCTGGAAGCTTATCACAGGGCAAGAATTATTCACTAGGCCCGGGCCCGATACATGAAACGTGATTATTGCCAGCGCAATTGGTTCCAGAACCGCCCGCGAAGCGTGCAGGGAAGGTATGTCTGTGCCAATAATCATCTTTATGACAGCCGGGCGGGCCACAATACTACGTGGTATGGCCGGAAAATTGGCCGCGCTGCCAGCTGACCACTCGCCTGCTGATTGAGGCGTCAGGCTAAAGGGTACAGCCGTGAGCCGTAGCAGGCAACGGCAGATTGTAAACGCGACTTTCGTAGAAGTCCGTGGTGCAGACATCAATCATCTTTGACCGTAACCTACACCTTGACTCGGCTGTTACTTTGATCTAAATAAATATTCAAAGCCGTCACACTATTGAGGCACACCGATTGTCGGAAAAGCCGCGCGACGTCGGCAGCCTTCGCGGCATCCCACGAACGGTGAGCGGCTGGTGTTTGGGGCACTGTCCACAAAACCAGTTCTTCGGAACATTCAGCGCGTCCACCGCACCAAAAGTGGAACTCGACCGGTCACGTGACTGTCGACGGTAGGAGCTCGACCGGTCACGTGACCGGTGTGTGTCACGTGACCGCGCTGGGAACGGCGGCAGGAAGGACGGTGTCGCAGCCGGCGGCGGAGCACGGCCGATGGGAGGACGGCAGCCGTGCCAGTCGATCGGCGTGCTGACCGAGCGTGTCCAGAGCTAATGGTGATCCAACGGCAACACGATGATGCCAGAAAGTGGGTCTGGAGGTCGCCGCGCACTGCACTGTGTGCCGTATCCGTATGGCGTAAATTAGGTGCTTACCAAGGTGTGTCAACAAGTCAAACTCGGGATGGGTGTGCAGTATTATAAATGGGGAATATTTGTTTCTGGTCCCTAAAAAGCTGTTTCTGGCACCTAATTGCTGATCAGCCCCAAAATGCTTATTCGACCCTAATATCTGAATCTGGCACCTAATTGCTTCCACACAGCCTAAAGTTGCCAGATCGTCTAGTTGAACTCCGTATTTGCTGTTTGCTGATTCAGCACCAAAACCAAAACATCCAGCACCTATTTTATTCCAAGTTTGCCTACCTAATTCGCGTAATCTTCCTGATTTTATGTATCCTAACAACATGAACGTTGCATTCGGTGATGTCAAGTGCCATTTTCGCCAGTGGAGATAATGATTAATGCCATTTCTAGCCAAAAGAGAATCACTAGCCAGCTATGGTGCAGCATAGCAAGACGCTCCTATACCAGCCCGCTATGTAGAGACTAGAGATTATTGCACCCTCAGCCATTTTAACGTGAAAAGTTTGGATCCGTCACTTCCAGCCAGGCTCTCAGGTCATAAACTGGAGTAAAGCAAAATGTCAACTCTGAACAGACATGCCACGCAACCGGCCCTCTTTTCAATATTATTAGCTTTCTGCAATCATCGTCTGACTCCATCTCGATCAAACGCAGCATCCGGTTTCTACAGGGGCGTTTGACTGACCGGCCACACAATAACCAAAAACAAAATCAAAGCTTCATGCACACATATGACATAAGTAAGAAACGGATGAAAAAGGCACAACCACGGCACAACTCTGCGCGGCAAACAACGGACAATGTCCCACGCAAGATCCCGCCTTTCTTCAGCGGCCTTGAACGGAATGAAAACATCACATTTCTTTTTTGGAGCTATTTGATGACGTCAAAAAATACAATACCCGTTTTAATGGTCAAAATCGAGACAATTACTCACAAAAATGTTTCACTTTAAGCATTACAAATAAATACTTTTAAATATTTAAATGACATTGTTTTTTCAAACAAATCAATATTATTTGCTTACTTAAACGTCATATACAATGCTGAGATCACTACGGGGCTGTCTTAGAGTGTAGCTGCACTGGCCACTGGCAACCTTTAGGCTAGACTCCAGGGGTCATTATACCAGAACAACATGATTCTACCAGCCAGTAGATCATTTTTCTACTAGATTGGTGCTAGGCTCATTATTTAGGTGCCAGATTCAGAAAAAAGAGTAAGGCGTACCCATGAATAGGTGCCAGAAACAGCTAATTAAGGTCATTTTCCATGATTGGTGCTGGTATCCACCAGATAGGTGCTGAGGACCAAGTTTGGGGCGAGTCAGCTTTTAGGTGCCAGAAATAGCTTTTCTGGGACGCAATTAAATGGCGTCCATTATAAATAAAGCTTAATGTTTCCTTTAAATGAATATGCATTTGAAGTAGAGCTCTGCTACACTTTCCTCCACTTTGAAATTCAATAGACACAGGAGCTGCGTTCTCTCAGAGGTGACCATTATTTCTCTAAACGAGCATAACAGTTTTTATTACCAGAGTCGTCAGAAAACAAATGACCCCAAATTTGTTACCCTCTGTCTCTCTGCCTTATTGACTATGGAGTGAGAAGCAAACACAATAATCATACAATTACCTATGGTGAAACGGTTTTCTGGGATAACAGTTGTTAAGGCTCTTGTGCCAAAATATTTTTAGGGGAGTGAGGTTACCTATGATAAGGTGTCCCAGCAGACAACATTAACTGGCCGCGTGATCAAAAGTCCTTGACACGGTACCTCTCTCCTTCCCTCACACTTCCTCTTTCCTCTCCCTCTCTCTCTCTCTCCCTCTCTCTCTCTCTCTCTCTCTCTCTCTCTCTCTCTCTCTCTCTCTCTCTCCCTCTCTCCTCAGGTGGGTGGAGGGGGAGGCGGAGCGGGGGCGGGGTGGGACGATCAGCCGAACGTCTGCTCAGCCACCTGTCGTCAGAGACAGAGACAACGACAGGCCATCGCTGACCACACGCAGACAGACACTGTCGAAACGGTGCTACCAGTCCAGATCGCGGCAACAGCTGATATAGGGCGCAAAGAAGTGTTTATTTACCAGCTGACATGTGGTGTTTGACGGATCGCACACTGTTCCAAAGTGTCGATTGTGTTGCGTTGAGTGGAAGTGCACTGAATAACGCAGAAATCGGGGAGTCGTCAGAAAACAAATGAGCCCAAATTTGTTACCCTCTGTCTCTCTGTCTTATTGACTATGGAGTGAGAGGCAAACACACACTGTTCCAACTGTCAAAAGGAAACTTACCTTATACATTATATCCAAATCCGGGCGTAATGTCACGTCTATCGCAGTTCCCACTCACGGCAACACAGCACACTTGTCTGTAGCGGTCGCTGGTTTCACCTGTGTTCAGCACACCATACGCGCCACACTGTATAATTCCACGGAGCCGGACTGGCCACAGGTCCTCTCACCTCCCTGACCACCCGACCGGTCCCTTCCGACAGCCGGCGGCGCACGACCCGTCTGACGGCCCAGTCCGGCCGCGCGGCCAGTCCGGCTGGGTAGGGGGCGCCACGTGCCTGACCGCGGCGGCAGCGGCAGCGGCCGGGGTCGCCGGCGGCCGGCCGGACCGGCACAGCGCGGCGCAGCGATTTGCTGACAGCGATGTCACTCACTCAGACGAATTGCGTCGATGTGTAAATCGTGTGGGAGGGCTGGGCCGTCAGTCATAGGAGGGATTTACGGAACTTTGATGGTAATTGGTCGATTTAGGTCTTATAACTATTTTACTGCTTCCTATTTGTGATTGATGTTGTACCTACATTAATGTGCATTGCTGTAGTTCAATGTAGCAAATTTATAAAGCTTTGAGCAAAAAAGAAAAACTGGGAATTTCATTTGCCGCGAATCCCCGGCAATAAAATCATGTCAAAATCAGCTCACTATCCACCGGATGCAATATGATGCAAAATGCATCTGCTAATGTCAGAGAGACCGAAGTTTATTTGAAGAGTTGAAAGTGACAATTATTGTTCTCGCAAGTCTACGTCGCCCACATTTTCCCCTGACACGATCATTAGCTGTGCTCAGTTGCACCTGGCTCAGATAGCAGGCTGTGAAACTAATTAATACAGACTTTGTTTATGAGCTGGAACTACTGCACCAGTACAAAAACTGGCTCCGTCTCGAGGGGCCCTCTTCACTCGCTGACAATTATGTCCGGCTATTATTAATTAGACGACTATGCAGCCCAAGGCCTAAGGTTTCAAACCTTTTGTTAAAATTTGATAGACTGCCCTCGAGAGTACCTAAATGTGTGATTTTGATCATTTTGCAGTTCATCCCGAATAAATCATGAGTAATGTATAAAACACTATAATTAATTGGGAACTGAAAACAATGATTTGGAGAGTCGCATTTATTGAAACTTCTTCCAAATGCCTACGGGAGCAATTCTGACTTCTGAACCTTCCCTTATATAGAACTTACGGTCGATGCACAGTCACAGACACTGAAGCCGTTTATCGCTAATCAAAATTTACCGTCTCTATATTTCTGGTCTTTGTATTTTCCGTTTTAAAAATATAACATAGCAAGTCAAAAATGTCTTCCTCACTGGATAAATGGCCAAAATAATTCAATTTTTTTCAATGAAGCAAATCAAAATAACGTAAAATTAAGAGAAGCATGTCATAGAAACACCAGCTCTATTTCAGTGAAATTGGCGGCAGATGCAGCGCGGCTCAGCTCGGGCCACTGACCGTGTGTTTCTAAGCGGCTGACCTGTCGTCAGCGGGACAGGACCGATCAATGGGAGGGAGCACCCACTCTCACACCCACCCGGGGGCTGGCCATGGTACCGCAGGATAGTTAGGAAAGTCCAAGGTGATCCAAGCCATTCCAAGGTGACCCGAGTCATTAAAGCCACTGCCCAGAGTCCTAAGTGGTCACTGTCCATCGTTCGGTGCCACTGTTTGGGTTAACTGACTACGGACAGTGCACTGTGAATCGGAACAATAGGGAGATTTGTGATAAATTGTTGAGGAGCTGACGAGGAGTTCCGGGGATGAACGCTTAAAAAACTTTGGCCTGAATTTTATGCCGAAGTTTTGTAAGTGACGTGCATATGGTTAACAGATACCTACCTACAAGTCGAAGGCCCGGGGCATGTTCTTGTCGTTACTTCTTGCGATTCTTTTTGCATAGCCTGGAAGCTCCAAAGGAAGCTCTTAGACCAGCAGCCCTTGCACCACCCATTGCTCTTTCAACTTATCCTGTACTTCAATCTTATGAATCCTGATTTTTATATCTAGTTGTTCATTTATAATTGCACAGATTTGCTTTATATTTGCATCAAGGCAACAGTGCAGTGTTCATTTAAGTCAAGTCATCCATCATCAGCCCTCTCTTGACCCCATCACCGGCAGGCAGGCTGCATCTGTCGTCCGGGGGAGACTGCAGACACGTGCGGCGACCAGCCCCCGGCGGCGGCCGGTGAACTTTCCAGTCCCGCCGGCCGGCGACAGCCCCTCCCCGCCAGCCTCCGAACGCAGGGCGGGGAAGGGGGCGGGAGCGGGGCTGCTCACTCAGAGCGGCCGAGAGTACGGGCTGAAATGCCGACGCTGTCGCCATGGCAACGACACTGTCCGCTGAAACGCCGTCACGGTCGCCGAAACTCCGGGAGTTCTATCGCCGCTAAAACGCCGACGCTATCGTTGAAACCGCGACACTCTGGCGTGACCCAATCACTCTCGCAGTACCGTCACTACTGTCCGTGTAGCCTCACCACTGTCTCTGGAGCTCCGACACTGCCCCTACTGTCCCTAAAACGCTGCCACCGTCGCCAGCTGAAACCCTACAGCGCTAACCGGACAGCAGCGGCTGAATCGACAACATACGGCCACCGACGACGTGCTCCAGATTCTACTCACGTACCGAGTTCGCACATCCCGGAGTAGGTATTCTGTGCCGCAGACTATCTCGGTCAACGCTGTGTTGCAGGAGTATAGTGGGGCGGTTGAATAGATGTGGATGAAAGTTAGGTTTTTTATGCGTGCTCAATGATCATCGCATAAGATATTGGCATGTGCTAAAGTAAAAATAAGAAAACGTACAAAATGACCAACTTAAAGGCAATTTTCCACATCCATTCGGCAGCGTTTGAATCACAGTTGTTTTAGCGCCTCCCTGACCACACAATAGCGCCGTCCCGCTGTGTCCCTCCCCACCTATCGCTGCCAGTCGTTCCCGGTCCGGTCATCTGGTGATTTATTTACCATCCCTTACGATCGTTTCCCCATTTGGCGGCGGGTGATCGCCCGCCCCCTACCTCCGGCGCCAGAGTGCCGTGTCTAGGGCCCGGCCGCCGACCCGACTAAAAACTGCATTGGCGGGGGACGGGGCCGACAGCACCGCCTGGCGCGCACTCCCGCACCAGACGTGATCACTTACGGTAGGATAAGTAGCACATGGTGGGTGCTTGACTACAGAGTATCAGGCAACATCGCGATTCACGGCGGGGCATCAAATGTTTGGATAAAATGATAATATACATGTTATCGGGATGGTTGGGTGCGTAAGAACTGAAAAAAATGAATATCTATCTGGCGACAGTGAGTAAAATTTTTGGAAGTCACTGAATTGTTCAATAGCGTCGTTCTGGCGAAGTCAACAAACGCCAGTGGCCTGAGGTCAACATATCGCCTGTATTACCATACGCGGGTCACAAGGTCACGTACGAGGTACAAGTCATGTGTGTCGTTCAATTACACCACTAATATAATGCGGCACAGTGCAGCAGTTTGTCGTTCTTCAATAGATATCGGTCGGCAGCACCCGGTCAACATAAAGGACACAGTAGCAATGTCATAGTTCGTCCGGTGTTAAACCCACTCACGTCACACTAACACATTACACACAGTCACACAAGTACACTCAAAGTTGTCACAAATCGACTAAGATGACACCATATACCACGGAATATTTGACCAATATTACCAAATACCAACACGATGTGACGTTATAGATCACGGGTCAACGGCAACAAAATGGTCACACCAGTCAGCATCCAGCCATGTATCAAACAACATCCCTTCATGGCACCACGACTAGAGAAAACACTTCGCAAAGCGCACCACGATATTTGTACGACGCCTTACTCGCAAATTCCGCTTCGATTCGAAGCACTTCGCCGCTTCCTTGACGAGGAGCACACACAGCGTCACCTGCAGTCCAGTCTAGGAAGCTCAGATTTGAGCGCTTGCCACCAGAGGCGCTCTGGTCACTGGGTACGCTATGTCCGTGGTGGCGAGAGCGCCGCCACTATGAGAAGAAGCGCAGTGAGCAGCGCGGCGGAGCTCCGTGGGATGTCGGTCGTGGAGCGAACAGAGGTGTCCGACGGCAGACCGAACAGCACCCGTACCGTCTCGTCCGACCGGGACACCACCGGGTCGGGCTCGCTGAAACACAGAGGGCAGCACCATCCGTCATACAGCACCTCAGTCAGTCACAGCGGCGCGCGGTACGGTCCGTTCAAGGTGGCGCCACCGTCGGACCCCCCCCCCCTCCCCCCTCCCCCAGCCGGTGATCGACGCCACCACATCTCGTCACTATCTCACACGATTCACCAGCATTTAGTCCTCCCATCAATCTCTCGGCATTAAATCTCATCACCAGGTCTCCCCAACCAATATTTATCGCTAATATCTCTCACAACTATCTTACCAATATCTTCAACCACTCCGACCATTCTCCCCACCAATCTCACCTGTCCTGCGAGTCGTCGATCCGGACCCAGAGGTCGCTGAAGTTGTCGCCGTACTTGTTGTCCCGGTGGCGGGCCCCGTGTCGACCCCGGCCCTCCTGCCGTGACGGGGGCTCTGAGCCGCGGTACCGGGCCCCCTCGGAGGGCGGAATCCGCCGACCGCCGCCGCCCGGCCGACGCCGGCGGTTGTACCTGGCGAAAAACGATCACAGGAAGGCATTAGATAACAAGGTAATGGAAATGTACTGCATCAATTATCAAACATTTCACTTAGGTATGCCAAAAATATCACCATATTTTACATTGAATGATATGTAGAGACGATGCTGTCTGTACCCTTCTAAAATTCGCCTTTTTATAATCTTAAAATCGCAACACAATGGATTGAAATCGGGAAAGTTCAAGGCGAAGAAAATTATCGCCACCATGCTCGTAGCATTATTTCCAGCATAGTGCATTTGTCCCCGCTACTTGCCCGTTCTATCAGAACCAGCGGTAAATGAAGGACGTTTCCTAATTTAGTTACGGTCATTACTAACGAGACAAGAATACGAGTGCGTCACTAGCCTGATTCATCATCTTTTTATGCGCTAGTCGCAATCTTCCTCAACGCAGTGACCACTAAAACAATTGCCGACCTGTAGCAATGCCCGTCCGTATTCGTGAGAACAAAAAGTGTTCAGAGTTCTGAATAGAAACTCCGAGTCCGTCTAGTTTTAATCATCGTGTGAACTTTGGACACTTACTCCCCAACGATGATTGTGTGTGCATTAGGGAGTGTCTCAGCTCTACCGGACCAAAGTTTCTAACGATCTAACGGCATGGAACAGTTCGGTTCCTTGTGTGGTGTGTAAAACGGCCCCGAGAGCTTCACTCACCTTCGTATCCGTTCTCGAGGTCCAACTTTGGTCACTTTGTAGCCCGCCTGGCGCAGCACGTTCAGAACGCTGTAGTTGCCCAGAAAATGACCTGCAACAAAACAAATCCACTTCAAAATAGTATTCCTTCGCCCCAACACTTTGGGCACGGTCAAGCCTGGCAGTAGGTGCAGCAGTTTGTGCAACCATTTGTGGCCGAGGACTTGAGACTAGTCTATGCTTGATAGAGACGGGTACGGAGAAAAGACATTTCTAAAAACATAAATGACTGAAGTATGAGAAACGGCTCCATTCAGAAGAGAAAGAAGACAGCTCTAAAGATTCGGACGATGCCCATAGAAAATGTGTGTTTTGTGACAGGTCTGAAGAGGTGGAGAAGGCCAGGAAGATGCCGACAAATCTTTGGAGTGACGGGAGAGACGCTCTTTTCGGGACAGTGACCTCTCTACAGAGAGACGAGGACCACCACGCGGGACACGCACCACCCACACGCACCCACTCATGAGGAGCGGCGGCCGCCATCGCCGCCTCCCACATAACGGAGCGTCCGACACAAACAAACAAACCAATCAGCGACACACCAGTCATCCATCATCTCGGCCAGCGGGCACACGTATGGTAATGAACAGACCGAACGCTCACTGTCTGACAGCTCTCTCCGCCCACCGGTTTGTCCTCAGACGTTCCGTTTCACATTATCAACAGACCCCTCCCGGCGCCCGGCGTACGCGTTCGTGACAGCGAAAACGAGGCGTGACGTTTCAATTCAGCGTTCCGACAAGGCGATTCAATAGCGCGAAATGATTGTGACTAAGTACGCTTGCACACGCGACCTTATCAGTTGTGCTGGAGTAATAGCTGCGTCCCTGAGTGGCCATTCAGTTGGCATCTGGCTGCATGTGTGCAGGCACATTCACGACATAAGTGGACGGCAGCGGGGGCGGAGAGTGGGGGTAGTTAAACGGGGCGGCGGCGGTCGACTGAGGGCGTCGGCCCGGCGGCAGAGGGTACCAGTGGCGCGGGAACCGGGGGGGCTAGGGGGGGCTGAGCCCCTCCAACTTTTCGGCTGGGGGGGTTCGTAATGTATTTGAGCCCCCCCCCCCCCCCCCCAGCTGGAGGAATCGAAATCGGAAATCTACCAACACAATTTCATAGATTCATACATAGGCGCGGGAACCGGGGGAGAGGGAAGTGGGGGAAGCTTGCCCTCACAACTCTGGGGCCGTGGGGGCGGTGCCTCACAACTTTTCATGAGGCCAGGAACCGTTGGGGCAGCTTGTCCTCCCTCCCCAAATTAGGGGTTGTGAGTCACAAAGGAAGAAAGCATGTGAGTGAAAAATCTACCTATTTTACTGACTCGGCAACTCATTTGGCAGCTTAAAACCTTTAATCCAGGTTGCCAAAACGGTAGTTTCTTCACTCAGCTGAGACGGAATACCTCACTTTTTTTGCAAATATTTTCTTCTTTTTTTTCGTTGAAAAGGTCAAAGTCTGGAAAATAAGTGGCCTAAAACCGATGAGAAAACTAGATTTGGGGGTACCCTAGGTCGATCTCCATGATGGTTCAGCCCCCCCCCCCCCAGTCTGGAAGAAGTTCCCGCGCCACTGGGTACGGACATTCGAGTGAGGGTAGCGGCGGTAGCAGCTCAGGACGAATGGGCGCGGGTGGTCGAGCTCTTGCAGCATGCATTGTGCAAGGTGAGAGCGTGCTGCAGTGCTCTGAAGTGAGCCCCTGACACCGGTCTCGTCTGGCGTACCGCGTGCCGGCGTACCGGCCGTGCCGGGCGCAGTCCGGCCGTGCCCACCGCGCGCCCCCCGGGCTCGCACCGGGTCGTATTATGTCTGGCGTCGGCGCCTGTGACCCCAGCCGCCGGGGAGGGCAGGGAGCGGAGGGGGAGGGTCGTCGGTGCCACTGTGGGTCCGCGCACCGCCCGGCCGGTGGCCAACTCAAACACGGCCCAGCCATCAACAGCGGCACCATCTGAGGGCGGTGATCTGAGGGCGGCACCGACCGGCGTCCTCCCAGGTGTCCGCCGGCGGCCAAGGTCGGGTCACCGGACCGCCGAGGGGAGGAGAGGGGAGGGGAGGGGAGGGGCGGCACCCACACATCGGACGGCGCCCCTGGCGGCCGACAGCCGAACCGCCGCGCCAACATATCCGGAGGTCATGCCAAGCCGCGACACGCCGGCTGAGGCACTGCGGACCTCGCCGAGACTTGCCACAATAGCTCGTCATAGATCACTTGCAGCGGTACAGGGGACCGTTTGCGGTTCGCGGCTGGTTACAGTGTGCCGCTGCTCGAACGGCGACTTCAAGGGCTGACGCGTCTGGGCGCGGCCCGGGCGGTCGCGGCAGTCGCGGCGGACATCAGAGCCGGCGCACACCGGAGCCGTCCCGGCTGTCACGGCGCAGCGCGTTAGGAGCGGCACAGATCGTAAACCGGCCCGTCGGCTCCACATAGCCACAGTCGCGCTAATAAAACCGTCACCGCACCGCTCTCCGAGGCGCGGCGAGACGGTACGGAGCCGGCGCGTTGCGACACCGTCCGCGACAATTCGACGGCGTCGTGCGACACTGCCGCCGCGCGAGGCTCGCTGCGTGACGGCTCGGAGGCGCCGCGGATGACCTGTCCGTCCCGCCACCCGTCTCGCGGTGCTCGTTCACTGCCGGCGGCCGCACGGCGACCCGTATAATGTCGCGGCGTGGGTGGGCGCCGCGCCGGCGCGACAGACACCGCGAGGCGGAGACACGACTAAAAAATGAAGGTGTCCGCGACGGCGCTGATGTCCCGCTGCGCGCGGCTCGGCGTCTTATAGGTCGGCCGACAGCCCGCCGCGCTGGAGAGACGCCACGGACGGCGAGAGATGAAAGAGAAAACACCGGCACGTGGCCAGGCGAGGGACGACGACGATTAAAGACAAGGCAAGAAGTGACGATAAGAAACTGGGAGGCGAGCAGAAAAAGGCGTGGAGGTAAACAGTCGAGTCACGACGATAGAAAACAGAGGTCGAGAACGACATAAATCAAGGTAAATTCACAAGGGAATAGCCAGAAAGACAGAAACAAATGCACCCAGCTTGTTGGTCACAGTCAGCCTGCAATCAGATTGCATTGCGGGATGTCAATTTTTCACCCAGCCAAAACCGTTTTCAGTGAAATGATTCGGCATTCTTGGTGAAACGCTCCACATTCCAGACAGCAATACTGGTTGTTGTTCTGAGCAGTAAGCACGCTATTGGCATATTTGGTAAATTGTTGTTGGGAAAGGTCGCTGAATGGAACGCACCCTGACAAGAAAGCCCATTACATTTGCATGAGTACCAAAAACAAAGGGCGGACCTATTGACTCGATAATGGGACAAGGTTCTTACGCCAGCGTTTACAAGACGGGCGATTGAGCTTTGCATTACAAAGCGCCATGCGCCGTTTGAAGCGACATCGTCTGTCTTTGTGTCAGCCTGTACGAGGGAGGGTGCACTTTGCTACATACTCTCATCTCATTGAGAAATCTACTGCAGGAGCCGAAATCAATCAAACAAGGTCGGAGTGCCGTGGAACAGAGCCATTTGTGTAGGTCAGGATCTGGAAACGTTTACAGCTATACCTAGTCAAAAATCATTTAAAACAATTTTATTTTCTCTGCAATTCATGGCAAAATGACAAATGGCATGCGCTAGAGGCCGGCACACATCTGCAAAATAGAAGCATAATGCACTCATCGAGGGCAATTTACCTTCTCCACCCGACCCGCCGTACTCTGGTCACCGTTTACCTTCAACGGACACAGATCGGACAGCCAAACATTTCGCCACTTTCCGGGCTGTTTTAGCAGCCGGTGTTTCCCAGCGCGTCTTCGACAGGCCGATCTCAGTCGGCTCCGCTGACCCCGTTTGTTTTGGATCGGCTCCGACGGGAAATAGACTCTCCTCCCCTGCCGAGGTCTCACACCGTGCTCCATTCAACAGTACCGGGCACCGGTTCCAGCTGACACCGAGCGAAACTGACTCCATTTTCTCTATGCGACTTATCACGCATATTCAGGCCTATGATAAAATTATACTTTATTCACGCCTTCCCGTGAGTAAAGGATATTTGATGCACGAGTGGGATCATTTAAACACGAGTGTGTAAATTTCACGAGTGAAACGAGTGAAATTTACACACGAGTGTTTAAATGATCCCATGAGTGCATCAAATATCCTTTACTCACGGGAAGGCGTGAATAAAATCTATTTTAGTATGACTCCCCGTGTCGTTCAAGTTCTTAGCATTGAGTATTTCATCGCTCCGGTCAGGACTATTAAAGGTTTTTTTTTTGGGGGGGGGGGGGAGAGTTAAAGAAAAAAGGGGCTTGGCTTTTTGGGGGGAGCAAAAATTGATTCACGCGTCAATTAAACGTATATGATTTAGCGTATATATTGGTCACCATTCCATCCAACTTCTTATGGCACCGATGTAATGGCTTCTCATGGCTGTTCCTTTCTGTTCAGCTTGTCGAACCATGTTTTCCAGCTCTTCTTCTCCCATCTCCGAGCTGCTCCCATCATCATTATCAATATCCATACAGCTAGCTGATCAGAAAAATAATATAAAGAAATTCACAAATATGTAGAGCAAAACCAGATAACAATCACTGGCTTTTAGAAGAGCAGCTTGAATGCGCTCGTCAACAAGAAGCAAAACCTGTCGAGAGTAAAACGAAAAAATTAACGCGTGATTTATTTTATTGACGCGTGCAGTCTTTTCTGCACTAGATCTTTTACTTTGATTGCAGTAAAAAAGCCGAGAACGCACGGGGAATCATATTAAAATTATACTTTATTCACGCCTTCCCGTGAGTAAAGGATATTTGATGCACGAGTGGGATCATTTAAACACGAGTGTGTAAATTTCACGAGTGAAACGAGTGAAATTTACACACGAGTGTTTAAATGATCCCATGAGTGCATCAAATATCCTTTACTCACGGGAAGGCGTGAATAAAATCTATTTTAGTATGACTCCCCGTGTCGTTCAAGTTCTTAGCATTGAGTATTTCATCGCTCCGGTCAGGACTATTAAAGGTTTTTTTTGGGGGGGGAGAGTTAAAGA